TGTTTCTTGAGCAAATGCTACATGTCAGGCACTTGGCTCGCTTTCAGTTTTTACTGAACTCTGATTGGAAGTGGTGAAGAGTTTAGGCCCGGCTCTTCTGAAGAACAACCCTACAGAGTCCCAGATGGAAATGTCATTTTGGGGATGGTTTAATTTGCATGGATTAGTCATAGAAACATGGCCTGCCACTCAGGCTGTAACCAACAGGAGGTGGTTCCTGGGTCATCCCCTTTCACAGGGCAATGCTCTGCGGACACTCAAGCCAGGACCGCTCGGACTCTACGGGGCCTCAGCTCAGGCCTCGGTCTGGTGCCACGTGACTCGTGTGTTTGCATTGAGTGACGGGCGCAGCGTTGGGCGGGCCTTGGTGGAAATCAACTTCCGGGGGCAGAGGTTTCTCGAAGCCGGGTGGTGTGTGGGCTACCCCTACTTGTGTTACTGGGGTCGCGGTCCCCCCTCCCCAAAGGTTTGCGATCGTGCCCCGGGTGTCCGCGTGCGGGTCAGTCTGTGTGCTGGGGGTGGCTCACCTGGCAGCGGGGGTGAGCGGCGCGGCAGCGGCGGCGGCGGTGAGCGGGAGCAGGGAGCAGGTAAAGCGACTCTCGCCTTCCGGGCCTGGGTCTGGGTCCCGGGGCCGCACGAGGCGGGCGGCGCGCCCGCAGGCGGCCTGGGCGCTGACCGGGAGCGTCCCACCCGGGCTGGGCGCGCGTCCGGCCTCGCCCCCGGAGCTCGCCGGGACCAGAGTGGGGGGCGTGACCCGCCCCCTCGGCAGGCAGTGCCCCTCTGCACTTGCTCTCGCCGGCAGGTTTCGGCCCCGGTACGTTCCCGAATCGAATGTTTAAGAAAGAAAGTCGACGCACAAGTACACGTGATAATTGTGTCACGGAAACTCCCACCTAACGGAGACGGATTCTAGTCCAGTTTTCACCGATCGCGCCTGGCTTATGTTTTCCCTTCTCCTTTGCCGAGTACATCGGGCAAAAACTGTACTAGGTCCGTCAGCCACATTTCCTTATAGTTACTTTGGGCCACACATTGCAATAAAAGTGGTAATTCGGGGTAAAGGCAGAGGGCAGTAACTTTCCAAGTGGTGAGGCATCCTTCATCCCCGAAAGTGCGTCCCCAGATCCCATAATCAAGATGCTTCTTCCGTCTGCCGGTGTTGTGGGCTGCGGAGGAAAGCTTTGGACTGGAAACCCAATTTTAGCTTCACTTTAAGGAATGGCAACTCTATTAAAAGCTCGCTGAGTGTCTTTTTGGTAGGATGATGCTTTTGCTGCTATTCTCACTTGCTTCCCTAATAAGAGTTGGGGCAGAGCCTGAATTCCTGGAGGGCAAAGTTCTGGCCACAGCTCTAGGTGACTCAGCCGCCCCCCAAGAATTCGGACCCTTTTCTTTCCCTCCCCCTCTGAACTGGGCAGATACTGATGCCACCTTCCGATCCAGATATTTTTCAGGGAGGTCGTTGGATGGTGGCCTTTAGAAATAGTTTGCATGTTTCGTGGTGCAGTGATTGGGGTGGGCTAACATTTCACCCCATAATTTAAAGCAGAATACCCAGAATATTTAGTTGGGTGGAACGACAGACTGACAGTAAATTCTCTTTGTTTTGTGCTGTCGGAGAGCTCTATACTTATAATCATCCCTTCTGCCCTCTGCTACAGTTTCTGTTGCATTGAGGGGATTGGCTGTACTTTACCTGTTAAGGTAAATGGAGCAAGGGGGATGCCAGGGAGAGTGCACCTGTGGTGCCACCTAGCCAGTAAATTGTGTGGTAGAGAATTACCCTGGTTACAACGTTTGGTATCCTCTAGGCAGGCCAGGAGGCTGTTCTGTGGGCTGGGAAATCTTATTATGAACTGGTTTCTTAGCAACAATATAAGCCAAATGGAATAAACATGAAACAAAAGGGATGAAAGTTACAACTTACCTCTTAACTTTTATTAAACGGAAAAATGTATTTTCTTATTGGAGTGATCAGCTCAAAACTTGAGAGCTTTTTGTTTGTTTGTTTTTAATCATGTTAATACTTAATGTCAGACAAAAACTGCAGAAAGTCACAGAGGTTACAGCACCATCCCCCCCCCCCAATAAATAAAAGAAGAAAGATGGTTACCAATTTAGCTGGTCTGAAGCTTAAATGGACACATAGGAATTTGCCTACTAAGAGGCATTTTTATCTTGTACCTCTAGCTGTCGATATAAGATTTGTTATGAATAAAACTATTTGAAGATTTATCATCTTTTTCTTGATAGCAGAAGTTGGGCTAGGAATGCATTGGAGTAGGTGAGATGTTTTCCATTAGTAAATTGGAAGGGGGATGTTTAGGTAAGTTGTTTCCAAATTCTGGCTCATAATCATAGTGCTCCTTTATTAATCTGTTCCTTGTGACTTTTGGTCTTTCTTGAAAGCTCATCAAATTTTATTTTCTGTTCAAATAATGGGAACTTAATAAAAAAAGCAACTCTGTAGATTAACTCTTTGTATCAATATCTGTTTCTTCTTATTTACTAATGATAGATCTTTTTTTTTTTGATTTGCAGTATTTCTAAGGATTTTTTATTTCCTCACTGTCTTTCCCCCATCCCATACCCAGTAAGCTGGATGTAACTAATTTAATTCGATTTATATATTTCAAAAGGGCATGTCCTCTGTCTTTTAAAATTTAGATTTATTGAGGTATAATTTACAAGTTAAAAACCGTTTTTAGTATCTTGCTCTATAAACTCTGACAAATGCATGTAGTCGTGTAACCACCACCGTAATCCAGCCAAAGAACATTTACATTATTCCCAAAAGTTTCTTCATGCCCCTTTTTAATCAGTTTCCTTTTCTAACCCATAGGTCCTGGCAACCACTTATATGTTCTTTGTCCCCATAGCTTTGTCTATTCTGGAATATCATATAAATGGAATTCTATTGTATGTAGAATTTGTTTCTGGTTTCTTAATGCTTTTTTGATTCATCCATGTTGATGAATTTATCATTGCTTTGTTCTCGTTTTTAGCACTGAGTACTATTTCATTGTATGAATATATCATAATTTGTTTATCTATTTACCAGTTGATGGACACTTAGGTTGTTTCCAGTTTTTGGTATTTAGGAATGAAGCTGCTATAAATATTCATGCACAGTTTTTTGTACATTCATGTACAAGTCTTTGTATAGACATGTTTTCATTTCTTCTGGTTAAATGTCTGGGATTCTTAGATCATGTGGCAAATGTTTGTTTAACTTTATGAGAAATAACCAAAATATTTTCCAAGATAGCTGTTTCATTTTGCATTCCTTTCCAAAGATGTTTGACTGTTCCAATTGCTCTACATCCTGGCCAGCATTTGTCATTTTATTTTTTATTTTAGCTATTCTAATAGGTATTTAGCGATATCTCATTGATGTTTTAATTTGCATTTTCCTATTGACTATCTGTGTATCTTCTTTGGTGAACTGTTAAATCTTTTGTCTTTTTTTATTTTTTCTTCATTTTTTCCAGCTTTTTTTTTTTTTGAAATATTATTGACATATAACATATGTAAGTTTAAGGTGTACAATGATCATTTGATACAAGTGTATGTTGCAAAATGACTACCACATTAAGGTTAGTTACACCTCCACCCATCACAAAATTACCTTCTTTTTTTTTAATTGTTGTGATGATATTTAAGATCTACTCTCTTAACTTTCAAGTCCATAATACAGTATTGTTAATTATAGCCACCAAGCTGTACATTGGATCTTTAGAATTTACTCATCTTATAGATGGAAGTTTTTACCCTTTGACCAGTATATCTTCCATTTCCCCTACTCCCCAGTTTCTGGCAACCACCATTCTACTCTATTTCCATGAGTTTGGCTTTTTTAGATTCCATCACTAAGTGATATCATGCAGTATTTGTCTTTCTCTGTCTGACTTATTTCACTTAGTATAATGCCCTCAAGGTCCATTCAAGCTCTTGCAAAAGGCAGGATTTTCTTGTTTTTATGGCTGAATAATATTCCTGTGTTTATCTATTTATTTAGCTATCTATTCATATGTCTACATATCTGTGTATCACATCTTTATCCAGTCATTCGTTTGATGGACATTAACTTGTTTCTGTGTCTTGGCTTTTGTGAATAATTTTTCTATGAACATGGAGTGCAGGTATTTCTTTGAGATAGTGATTTAAATTCCTTTAGGTATATACCAAAAAATGAGATTCTTGGATCATGTTGTAGTTAATTTCTCTCTTTATGTATGTTAATATTTGCTCTTTATATTTATATAATTAGATATTCCTATGTTTGGTGCATAAATATTTACAAATGCTATATCATTCTTGTTGGATCGACTACTTTATCATTATGTAATGTCCTTCTTTGTCTTTTGTTACAGTATTTTCTTAAAGTCTGTTTTGTCTGACATAAGTATTGCTACTCCAACTTTCTTATTGTTTCTATTTGTATGGAATATCTTTTTCCAGCCTTTCACTTTCAGACTGTGTGTGTTAGATCTGAAGCGAGTCTCTTGTAGGCAGCACATAGATGGGTCTTGGGTTTTTTTTTTTTTTTCCATTTAGCCACCCTATGTCTTTTGTTTTGAGAATTTAGTCCATTTACATTGAAAGTAATTATGGATAGGTATGTGCTTAATGCCATTTTGTTCATTGTTTTCTGGCTGTTTTTGTAGGTCTTCTATTTTCCTTTCTTCTCTTGCTCTCTTCCCTTGTGGTCTGATGATTTTCTTTAGTTTTATGTTTAAATCTCTTTCTCATTTTTTTGCTGTGGTTGTGTAGCTATTAGAGGGTTTTGATTTGTTACCATGAGGTTCATATCAGTCTGTTTTAAATTGATAGACACTTAAGTTTGAACACATTCTAAAAGCTCTAGCACCTTTGTCAAATATCAATTAACTATGTATGTGTGGATGTATTTCTGGACTCTCAGTTCTGTTGCAACCTTCAGTGTGTCTCTCCTTTGGCTAAAACCACATTATCTTCATTAGCGTAGCTTTATAGTGTGCCTTGAAATTAGGAAGTCTGAGTCTTTCAACTTCGTTGTTTTTCAAAATTGTTTTGAGTATCCTAACTCCTATTCTTTCCCTGTAAATATTTAACCCACTTGTCTGTCTATAAGAAACTCATTGTAGGATTTTTCTTGGCAAGCTTTAAAGTTATAGATAGACTTAGAAAGAATTGATATCTTAATATTGTTTTCTAATCCATTAGTAAAGTATCTTTATTTAGATCTCTGATTTTCCTCATTAATGTTTTGAAGTTTTCAGCGTAAAAATCTTGCATATATTTTGTCATATTTGTATCTTAAGTATTTTGTTATTTGATACTGTTAAAAATGGTAATCTTTAAAAATTTTAATTCCCAATTGTTTATATAGATAATTTAATATTTTATATTGCTCTTGAATCATCAACCTTATTAAATTCACTTATTAGTTCTAGTAGCTTTTGTAGACTCATTTGGATTTTGTACATAGACAATCTTGTTTGCCAATAGAGACAGTTTTATTTAATATTTTCCACCTGTTTGTCTTTCATTTTGTTTTCTTGTCTCATTATGCTGACTACGACCTCTAGTATGATGTTGACTAAGA